CCTGTAAAATGGCGGCCGAGTTTGTGCTACATGAGGAAGATACAGCAGACGACTATTCTGTCACTGATACTTATCTAACAACTTGAAGGGGTTCATAATCAATAAGTGTTTCTTCAATGATCAGGAATGCCTAATACTTACTCATGAGAAGCTGTTCCATCATCCTCCACTGGGACCACGTGTATAGGGTGTGGGTAGTTATGAAAACCACACCTGTCACTCCACATGTTTCATAAATTCATTCCTATTCTTCTAATAATCTTCAGCATCAGACATTGTGCCTCGGGACTCACGTGACTTAGTTCTACGCGGTGATGTTTCAGCTACTATAGGGCGGTTAGACACTCTCCCTAACTAATTATCTACTCTTGCTATCACATACATTAGGTATAGCAGTAGTACCTGAACTGACAGCCGGTGTCACAAAGGTAGATCTCTTTGTCTGTTATCAGTTTATCAGTTTTCACTGTTGGACGATAGTGACAAAGGGCAGCGTGTGCTCCAGAGGCTGATATTGTCGGGAAACTCGGACTCACATAAAAATCCTGTTCTCTAGGGAAATAAGTAACAAATGGCGCTATAGTAAAAGAGATTTAAATACACTTACTTTCTGAATGTCTCTAGTTTGTCGGAAGCAGCAAGTTCGGTTATTTCTTTGCCAAATTTGATTTGATTCTCTAGCCAGTTGTAATACTCGCACAAGGCGACAGCACATTTTATCTAGCGAGAAAATTTAAAGAGAACAAAAGACATGAAGTATACATGAGGCGAGCATGTGTCTTACATGTGCTTGCTTCATTCCTTTAATCTCATTCTCATTCTTGATTCCTTTCATGAGCGGAACCGGACTCAGTTTGTTGACTCGGCGATCCTTAGGAACAAGTGAGCACAAACCTTGACTAGAAGGAGAGTTGATCTGAAAAAGATTAAAATAAATATTTCATTATCGTGTACATGTACATGTACATGCATTAGCAAAAATGGTATAACAATTTCAAGCAATTTGCATAAAAATTATAAATGTAACAATAATAATATTAAGACAACAAAATCATTAAAAATACTATAGAATACAGTATGTATTAGTAATTAATGTACTGACCCAAATCTTTCCCTCGGTGGATGATAGGAGTTGAATGATGTCACTCGATATCTCCTTATAAGGACGTAAGATAACTCCTCCCACTTCTCCTATACACAGTTGAGAGGTAGCGTCAGAAGTAAGAGCAGACTCGTTAAGTAAATATAACCTAAGGAAGAGAGGAATCAGGAAAGAAAGAGAGAGAGAAAATCAGACTCAAATGAAAATTACAAAATCAACATGTACAATTGTGCATGTACATGTATTGCTGCAATACATTACTTGATGTACCTGGCATCATCCATTGTTACCATAGAATAACTAAAGAAGACTGGGTTATACTCAATGTCAGAGCCTCTGAGATTATACAACCCTAAACATTATGTGAGAGCGTCATTTAATGAACTGTATGGGGGAATTGATGGCTTACAAGCATTTTCATCAAGAGCTGTGCAGACTAAAGCTGAACAACCTTCTTCTTTTAGCTTTTCTCTAATCCTTTCAACTTTATCCTGCCATGACTGACCTTGAGAAAGAAAGGGTATGTTAAAATAAAGTTGGAGAGAAAGAAAGGAGGAGGAGAGGAAAAGAGAGAGGTTGTTAAGCTACCAGAATATTCAATCGGTTGGCTAAAGACAGGATTATTAGGTGGGGGAGGACGATCATCCCAAACTTGATCAACAAGATTGTCCAGTACAGCACAAAGACTAATACCACATCCATCAAGGAACTACGTCAAAAATATAATTAAAACATGGAACTACACATATGGCTACAGAACAAATGGACAATACCAAGGACAATACCCATACCAGACTAAACAAACATGAACATGGGTTTCCCACAAAGCAAAATTTTGGCTAAATTTGGCCAAAGTCCCTAGAATTATAGTACAGGGACTTTGGCCCAATTTTTGAGTAGCTTTAAAAGTTCGTAAAAAAAATCCAAACTTGATGGAAATCTGTTTAAAACTTCTACACAACATAAAGACAAAATCTTGTAGGAAACCTGATGTGTATGTACATATATGTAATAGGTATAGTAATATTTGCATAAATCTACTCAAATATTATTTAGAATTTTCACAATTGTATATGTACATGTACATACATTGCAATATTACACATACATCATTCCACATCTGATAAAGCTCCTCTGATATAAGAGAAGGATCATAGCCAATAAAACTCCCAGGCTTCATCTCCTACAAATACATTGCAATAAAAGTTAAATACTAATTTTATACAAAATGTGAAAGTTCCTTAAGTTACAGGTCATGTTGTATCCATGACTAAAACAACTGGTACGTGATGTTTTTAAAATTGTACACATACACAAATGAAACTGAAACATGGTACACAAAATGATTTAGAATAACATCAATGACGTCATCATTGTTATTGTTATTATTATCATCATCATCATTATTACCACTATTTTCACAAGATGCTATTATTACATAACGAAATGTAACTTTACAGTACCTTCTTAACCCATTCCATAATAGTAGGTACATTCGGAACACCTTGTTTCATCAGCGTCCACTCGTGCCCTAATTCATCAGCCGCTTGTATATGGTATCGGCCATCAGTCCATAGTAACGCCTGTTCACTGGTTACCACGGCAACGCCTGGAGGGGAGGGGTCAGGTAACGATAAGATTAGTGTGAATTATTTACCAGCTGAGCCAGTAAAACCAGTCATGTACTGTCTCCTCTTATCACATTCGGCTATGTATTCACTCTAAATAAAATTAATGTAAATATTAATATAATTGTATGTACCGGTATATATATATAATTATAATTATAAATATATATATATATATATTTATACTTGGTGCTGGTCATCGGTTGGTATTATGTATGCAGAGATTGGGTCTTGGGGTAGACTCTTCATGAGAGCTCTTAGACGACTTAAAGCAGTGCTCATCTTTTAAAAAAGAAGGAACTAGACAAGAAAAGAAGAACCAAATCCCGGGACCCCGCAAATTAATACCACGCCTTTCAGCCCCGCCTACCTAGCTCTGCTGCTGCAGCCTGGATGCTGCCGTGCAGTCTTTGTGAGTTGGCAAATGGTTAGTATAATTGTGTTGGCAATTTTTGGCATACAGTTACAATAATGATCCGTTCATAAATACTATGATTTGTTTCATCATTTTATGCCCATCATTATCCTAGTGCTAGTGCCAACACAGCAAGCAAGCTCCTTTGAATTAGTAGAAACTCTAGATCCCTGATGCTATGATAGTCAACCACCAAGTATGATAATAGGTTTTAATTTATAAATTATAATAGATCTGCTACTTAATGATAGCTATTATGAGTATTCATTGATCATTATCAGCATTGGGTGGATTTCAGTTTTTCTACTCAATTACTTTGTCTGCACTCTTGTCTGTACTTTCTCCATAAATGGTAACAATATCTATTTGATTGTACATGGCAATGATTGATGTGCTGTCAGTACTATCAATGAGTGTATGTGTGGAGATACAATCAGCCACAAAATTCCAAAGATGTGACCTAATATCTCTACATGTTTATCAAGAATATTATGTAGACCTGATCATTTTTTACTTATTTTATAAATTATCTATTTGAATTATAACAGAGTATCGACTATTTTAATATAAATTATAATGAGACATTATAATTAAGAAGTAGCTATGGTAACTAATTATGGAGGCAGGTACTACAGTACATTCAATTACAACAAGTATGCCATTAGAACACTCCTACTATTATGCCTAACACAATCTTACTATAATCTTACTATACTGTCACCTTAATCAACGTATGCATCGTGACACAATGCTATTACATTACCATTGCAACATTAAAGAACTATTAAATTCTCTTTACTGTTAGCTATTATTGTAATCATTTTGCTAAGTATCATAACTAGTATAGTGCTGCAACAGTTTGCTGTGAATACGTGTAAATTGCATAATTTCCATTCGTTTCTTTTGATTTTTATTAGTTATTGCACATGTACACATGTATGTATGACCTTAATTCAGTGGTGTGCATATTATGTAAGGTTTCTGTACTGTCCTGTTTATATTTATGCTCATAAAATTCATGACAGCATTACTTTCAAGTAGCCAAAACTTCCACACACACACACACATACGCAGAACACACACAGTCTGTGTGATGGTATATTGTAGCCAACTATAATACCAGATTAAGGTAAGTGCATATATGTCAGTTTATACTCTCATGTATAGTTATTATTATACTTATAAATGGTTTGACCTTTTACTTGAGATGAACAGAAAAGTGAATGAAATATATATTTGTAGCTAAAATTGTCCATAGCCTTTTACAATGGATGTTTTAATAACATAAAAGGTCAAAAATTGAATTGTTATATCAAATACAATAAAAACTGTTTTGATTAGAAATTTCCTGTTACATTTGAACCATCTCTCTATGTGTCATAAGGTGTCAATAGTAAAGGGTTATAATTACATTGTTTTATAACAGCCTCTAATTGCATTTTTGTGGCGACTTAAGTCAAACATGTTTTGTGTAGCACCAGGAAGGAGTAGTATGAGCAGTAAGCTTAAAATTTATAATACAGAGGATGTGACACAAACTGAGCTGTAGTGAAGGTTACCACTTATTACCGTGCACTATATTATAGCTTAGGATGCTGTAACTGGTCAAAGGAAATGCTACAGGAAAACCCAATAAAAAACTTCAGCATGCCCAATTTATATTAACTTATCACTATTAAATACATGTGGATGTCATTGATATTTTTTAACAAACAGTGTCAGCTAATGAACTTAGAATTTATGCATTATTGAGTTGACCTTTAGTTTATCAGTAGTATTTAGTCTTGTTTCATATAGATATAGGAAGAATAACTTCATTACGGCCTATGAGTATGGTAATGTATATAGTATTTTATTACATAATATCAAATAACTATCATGAGACATTGTTTTGGTTGCCTGTGGTGCCCGTTGTGCCCTTTGCCAACAACAATTAAAAATAAATTATCTACTGTCCATACATTGCTTCCCAAAGGAATCCAATAATAGCTATCTTCCTTTGCTTAGAACCATACTATGTCACTAGTTACTGCTCCCCCATCTTAAACTTGGTACTTTACAGTAAATCAATATTAGTGTTAAGATGATGCCAAAGGTTATGCATCACTTGCTTGAATTGCTTCCTTCAACCATTTAAATGTATCCTGTGTATTCATATACTTAAGGATATCAACCCTCCAGATGTTCACCAATGACATTGAAGTCTTCATTTAATTACTTTATTGCATAATGACTCCAGTGATCAAATATCCTACTATCTACTGTCTTCATCTCTTCCAGTAGGTCCCTTCCCTTCTTCTAACAATAACATGTATCATTTAGATTGTGTGGGTTAGGATTAGGAACTTTGTATGCGCTGCCACGTTTGGTAGCTGACAGTTAGTATAGTACCCACAACATATGGATGAGCTAATAAATGTGTGTGTGCATGTTTGCTAGTTAGTAAATCCAAACATAAATTATCATTCCTATTAGAGGCAATTCTTCAATCAATTAGGGCAGGCAGCCTTTCAGAGACACACAAAACATAATAAAGTACAAAATTACTATGACAACATCACCAAATCCTTTTTCCTCTAAAATGTTACTATGATAGCTGCTAATTAATCTATAATTGATCCATTGGACCATACGTCAGTCCATTTCGGTATTATTTTATATGAACAATTATATTTTGGTTTTGCTTGGACGAGAGGGTGAAGAACCAGACACAAAACGTACGACCATTACACAAACTATTTTCTATTCTAGACATACGTGCATCATGACGTGTTGTCTATTGTTTTCAGTGTAACTAAAAGTGTCCCCAAGGAATTGATAAACCAACACAGAGAGAGAGAGACAGTTAGTGAAGGGACTCTGTCTTCTGGTGATGTCATTCATTGACAAAATTTGAATACAGTAACAGTTGCTTTAGGATCAAACCACATCCTGTTAGTGTATTTATATTCCTACATACTAAGGCATGAGTGGTATGATGGAATGTACATGTGACTTGGTAGATTCATGAAGCTATTGCACAGTTTGGATAAATGAATACAAGCTCTGTAAGGAGTGGGGTGTAATGAATATCCTTTGATATTATGTGTATTATGATTATTGTTACTGTTATCTTTATTCATCGTTAAACTTTGAACTGATTATTGCAAATTAATAAATTCTTGTCAAAAAGTAATAGTGATACCAGCAAGTAATGAAGTAGCTATTGCCACTTGTTGACACATAATTGGCTCAAAAACACACTTTTCCTCCAATTAGATGCCTAAACGTGAGCATCGCGTATCACCAAATCCCACCACACATCAGCTTTCAAAACTATTTCATTTTGATAATAATCATTTTTCATTCAAAATTAGGAGAGACAAAGGATCATATTGTGATAAATGAGGTAACACAGGGTAAATAGCAATACACAGATACAAACCTCTGCTACTCTAAAATACATTCACCATTCATTGGTGGGGTGTGTGAACATATAAAATGTACATAAATGAAAAGGAACCGTATATTAGTAGTAATATGCCACTGATTCAGTACAACACTAGTACAGTCTCAAATACTCTTAAACTAGAAGTACTTGATCTGAAGTTCTCGGAATGAGCATAGTTTTGCCATCATCTGTCATGTGGATGGTGTGAGTCTCACGAGAGACTAACGAGCCGTGGGCGTGAGAATATCGTTCGTAAATTTTTTTCTCGCCGACTTCGACCCGCCTCTTATACGAGGCAATGAGGGCATTTAGTTTTGCCACGCTCTGCTGGAGTTTTGACTTCTTCTGTCTCAAGGAGTCCATGTCGTCTTCTAGCTCAAATAGCTCTTCTCGCTTTCTCTTTCTCGCTATCTGAGCAGCCATCTTGTTCTTTCCCCTTCTTCTCCATTCCTTCATGAAGGCCACTTCAATTTCACTCAGGAGTGCTTCGTCCAGCAAACTGTTAAAGTCTTCAACGGGCATTATGACAAGCTTGTCCCGAGTGATTGGTTTCGACGCTCCTCCTCTTCGATTATGCGAAGACATGAGCTTATGTATAATCTCGTCTTCGTTCTGTCCAAACATGGCGACTGTTCCTATTCCATTTCCTCCACTGTGTGACTTACGACTCGATGAGGGAGCCGGACCGTCTTTAGGAGAGGATTGAGAAGGAGAGCTAACAGGTGACGAAAGTGACGGCTTCTTTTTCGGCTCATCGTCCAGTTGAATGTCCATCGGTCGCTCCTCTAGAAGTAAAGAGGCCAGTGTGCTGCAGCTGCTCTCCGATGTACCACGGTGCTTCTTAGACACTGGCAAGAGGTCACCAGACGGTATCATATTGTCCTCGGTTTTTCGTGTCTGGTTGGTCTCGTTGTCAGACGTGGGGGAAAAGGAGAGAGGAATAAAGGAAGGACTCACGAAATTATTAAAAGCCTCTCCATTCCCTCCGACTGGGATGACATTACGCTCAGTTTGAGGCGCTACTAAAGAGTTTGATAAAGAGAAATCGTCTTTCCCGAAAAGCTCTCCGAGAAGATCCTGGAGATCATCGGCTGGAGGAGCAATTACGTGCTCATTTGAAATGGGAACAACCTCATTACTAGGAGAAGGCATGACCTCATTCACACCAGAAACAAGAGGATCATGCTCCTCTGCCATTATTGGAACAGTTAGTCCGGGGTCTTCTAGCCCGTTATACTCTGTATTGGCCTCCAGTGGCTGGGGTATGTCATACTGCTGATATGAGGGAATCAGTTGCATTGGGGACAACTGAGGAGGCGACGGGTGATTAGGCAGCGGTGGGATCGCACCGGCAACCGGCTGAACCGGTATTGATAACTCGTTTGACTGGTTGAACGCGCTGTAAAAAGAGTCATTGTCAAATCCATCAAGAAACCCACCGACGTCTAGCAACTGAGCGAGAAAGTCTTCGTCTTTCTCGACAGTCTTTTCTTTAGCAAAAGGGAAAGAGGAGGAGGAGGAAGTCGAAGGAACTTGAGAAAGGACATTATTAAAATCGTCTCCAGAAGTGACTGGAGGCAGCCAGCTCGCATCACCAGAGCTGCTTGTTGGATACTTTCGAAATAGCCAGGACTGGCTGTCGTCTTCCCCTCCATCTTGCTTGTAAGGATTGTTAGAGAGTTGATCAATGGGTAGTACATATATGCCAGTTTCATACTGCATGAAAGGAGGAGAGGGGCTACTGTAAGAAGGAACCCCTCCATTACTGCCAACGGGCAGACCAAACCCAGTATTGAATTTACTAGGAGGCAGGACATTCTGCTCCTGTTTGATAGTGGATGGTATCTCAAATGATTCCATCTTGGTAGGCTGAGGGAGGGAGAGGGAGAGAAGGATAGTAACAATCAACATTTAGCAGCTTTGATTAGCTTACCGGGTGCTGATTAGAATAGTCAGGAGCGTTATTTGGATACACGAGCTGAACTGGACCTCGTCCGACCATCTTTACGAGTCCAAAAAAGAGACAGAGGCAGACAGTGAAGTGAAAAATAAAGCAATAAAACTGAATAACAGAACCTTGCCTTTCTTTATGTAATATTATGCACGACGGCTCGTGACATGGAAGAATCTAGATAATTAACCATGACGTCATTTGTGATTCTAAAAATAACAGTTGACCTTTAATCATTTAGACGTGGACATATTAAATTAGCTAGCCTAAGCTAATTAAACACCCATGCACGTGATGCATGCTCTAGTAATATGATATGATGTACGTCTGCATGCCGCGCCGTAAACCCTAAGCCACGCCCAATAAAATGGAGACCTTTGAGATGGTATTGAAAAGAGAGAAAGAAAGAGAGTTTTGTTTTATTTTCACTTATTTAGGAACCTTCATTGGAGACAGTTAAAGCAATATGTATTCTTGATAATGACGGTCGTAGATTGGCAAGCAAGGTGGCCGAGTCCCAATAAATTATTATTAATTTATTATACCTTAAGCCTACTATTATTTGCGTCTACTAATTTTAGTGAAATCAGCAAAAGTCATGTTTAGTGTTACTAATTTTAGCGTTTTTAACCAAATTAACTATAAATAATAACCATTATAATGAATAATAATTATTTTGGCGTCTATTTAATTTAGCGATTTAAAGCTCTCTCGCTAATATAGCTAAATTTAGTAGACGCTAAAAATAGTAGGCTTAAGGTAATTAACTAAAACTCTTCAATTCCATTTGTAGTATTATGATACCGTAACTTTCCCATCCCTTAAAGAAGAGAAAGCATTCGAGACTAACTTATTTTCAAAGACTCAGAAAGCAAACGGTAATGGAACGGAGCAGATAATAACTTCCAATATAAAATTAATTGTAACTACTAACTAGATGAATGTAAACATGAGAGGGCGAGCATGAGCTATTGACGTGGCTTAGCTTGACTTGATTGAAATAAAATAAAAATGATTCTAATCTAGCTCTTGTTCTAATGAGAGAGAAAGAACATTCATCTCTCTAGTCTGTGAGACCATTACTTCCATGCATGTTCAGACCCCGTGACCTCACGGTCGGGGGGTCTGAACAGAGCAAATATCATAGATTGTAAAATGAAAATAAAATAAAATGATTCTAATGTAGCTCTTGAGAGAGAAAAGAAGATTCAACACTCATTTCAAGACCATTACCTGCATGCATATTAATGCTGCGTTTATACTACAGAAGTGGGCCAAACTGTGCTGAACCAGGCTGAGCTGGCCCTGCTGTACTAACCATGCTGGCCTGGTTTGGCTTATACTGTGTTCACACTACCTCCCCAGCTGTACAGAACTGTATCTAATTAGATTAGTTTGGTTATAAAAGAACCATGTTGGTAGCAGTTCACACTGCACAACTTAACTATACCAACTTCACTTTAAAACTTAACTACACCATTTCAGAGCACCTATTTTGGTGCACCACTTTAGCCTGGTTTGGTTTGGCTACAGTCCAGTTCAGTTATGTTCACACTTGTTATAAAACTACACTATACTTCCCCAAAACCCAGTTCCAGTACATTTCTGAAGGATAGCGTGAACAGGGTATTGGCTCACTTCAGCTCAGTTTGGTTACTGTTTACACTATCAACTGGCCCACTTTAAACAGGACTGGCTCAGTTAAAGAAGCTAGTGTAAACGTAGTATCAGACCCCGAGCTCACGGTCGGGGTCTGAATATCACCAATCAACTACCGTATAGCGGGTATATTTCGTCTGTAAAAATGTTCGTTCTAAGCAGGATTAGAAATTTTTGTTTGTTTTATTTTCGTTCTGAGCAGCCATTTTGCACATGTGGCATTGAGGAAACGCCCTTTTTGTTTGGAAAATGTTTGTTCCACAAGGAATGAGAATGAAAAGAACGAAATTAAACTCGAACGGAATATACCCGCTATACAGTACTAACAAAACAAATAACCAATCATCAACCAATAAAAGAGGCAAGAATAGTGCTATCACTAAGAACCAAAGCTAAACTTCTATAGTCAAGCTCTTCTCTCATTCTTGGTTGTATCAATGAGAGGACTAATCCAGGAGAGTCTTAAGGCTATCATACACGATGCAACATTGTTGCATGCAACAAGTTGCACCGTGTATGATACCCTATTTTGTTGCATGCAACATGTTGCTTGAAGTTGAAAACCATTCAACTTGGTGCAACATGTTGCGTGCAACATGTTGCATCGTGTATGATAGCCTTTACAACAACAAAACACTTGCACAAGCACTGTAGCTCACCAAAATTAATATTATAGAGTATACTCAAGTTTCCAAACTTTACAGAGCTGATGCACTAGCCTTTAGAGATGCTTTAGATAGCTCCTCTCTCTTATCTAGCTGTTAGAAAACTTGACAGTTTGTCCCGTTTTTCAAGGCCACCATCTTGATCTTAAGATCATTGTGACCACACCCTCCTACTGTTCCATTTCAATATTTCTTTTTACACTTTTTAAGAGGAGCCTGGCATTTTCAGCCAATTTTATAATTAGACGGCATACGGAATACAATGTATTAGAGAGTGACAATAAGATTATTTTTTAAAATTTGTTTTCTCTGCTCTCACTTTTATAGCTGAAATTGTAATGTTGGACGGTCTGACTGCTGTCTATCGGAGTAATGTAGACCTTTTGTTTTATGTGATTGGATCTCAGACAGAGAATGAAGTAATTTTAAAATTGTTTCCGTATATCCTATTGATTAACTCATTTGATGCAGCTGCTGCTGTTAAGTGTCCTCAATGGTCTTTATGATGCTTTGAGTCAAGTGTTAAAGTAAATCGCAAACACCTTTGGTATATCAGTTTATTATACTGATTACATACATGTATCATGAATAAAACAAGTACTAATGTTGATGAAATTATTGTAGACGTAATATGGAGAAGCAAGGTCTGTATGAACACATGGAAGTACTTATGCTATTGCTTGATGAGATAGTTGATGGAGGGTGAGAAATTAAAAATGTAAAGATTATTGTAATTAATATGTTCAATGTTAGGATTGTAATGGAAACTGATCCAACTGTTTTACTGCACAGAGTAGCTGTGAAGGTAATACAATCAATCACACAGTACACAAACACACACTTAATGTTATGAATTGTTGTGTCTGAACACTCTTTACTCATTTATCATCACTATTTTTATGCACACACACACCAACAGTCTGAAGAAAGTGGATTTTCAGAGCAATCAGTAGCCAATGTGAGTAGTTTTATCACTGAAGTGTTTTTATAAATTAATTTTTTGCAGGTATTTCAAAATGCAAAGGAAAGCCTCAAGTGGTCATTATTGAAATAAAACGTTTTCACTAGTATTTTTGTTTAAATCCTTTTTTCTTAATTGTCTTAAAGACACTAAAGTTTGCAGTTAATCTCTGCAACCATCCGGCTATCACAAAGCTACACATCCCACAAACAAGATAACAATGACACTAAATTTGACTTTGTATGTGAATCATGAATGAACAACAGAATTAAGTTCCAAAATACTAAAATAAAGCTATTGTTCCGCCTGTGGTGATGCTTCCTTATTTTCTCCTCCAGTCTCGCACTCCATTGCTTCCTCAGCCTGAGGCTCCTCTTTCCCCTCATTAACAGCACTTGCTTCTCCTCCTCCAGCACTTTCAGCAGTAGCTTCTTCTTGAGCCATCCCTTCAGCAGTAGCTGTTCCTTCACTAGCCTCATTACCAGTAGTGCTAGTCTCATTACCAGTAGTACTAGTCTCATTACCAGTAGTAGTAGTATCACTGGTTGATGGCTGTGGAGTGACTCCATCACTTATAGCAGATGATCCCAAATCAGTGACTGAGGAAGACTCAGCAATTGGTTCTTCATTGTTGATGGTTCCTTCTACTGGCGGTAATGTATTCTTTACGTCATCTTCTATAGGTTCTGCTGGTTGTAAATCAACTGGAGGCTCATCGAGATGTGCATCAGTGCTCTTTACTTCTCCTATTGGTGTTGTATCCATTGCCATATCATCAGGAGGGGCAATAACATCAGGAATGTCATTGATGTTACTTATCTGTTCTTTATCTTCAGCCGATATGCTTCCAGCAGGTTCTGGCTGCTTATCAGGGACCTCCTGAACTCTCTCTTCCTCTTTGACTACCTCCTGTGTTGCTTCAGGGACAACAGCTACAGTGTCATCTTTGGCTGGCTGCAAAGAGAAAGCTTCAGGCTCTTGAGAAGTAGTATCTTGAGAAGTGGGTCCTTGAGAAGTGGGTTCTTGGGAAGTGGGTTCTTGAGAAATAGGGTCTTGAGAAGCAGGCTCATTAGTAATAGGCTCATTAGTAATTGGCTCTTTAGTAATAGGCTCATTAGTAATAGGCTCATTAGTAAGAGGCTGATTTGTAAGAGGCTCATTAGTACTGGTATTGCTGTCTTGCTTTGCATCAGTTGAGGTGGAGGGAGCTGGGATCATGGGAAGAGGATCTGGAGCTGGTTTATGATGCTGTGTGACTGATGGTTGAGGGAATGCAGGAGCTCCCATAGTTCCAGGAGGAGGGAAAGATGAGAGAGCGGTAGCTGTTATCTTTGGAGGGGGGAACAGAAGAGGTGTCTGAGGCTGAAGGGTAGGAGACTGTAGTGCTCTCATCTCTGCTGCCTTCAATTGGTCTCTCTGGAATTGTTGCCTCTCACCCAGCAACTGCTGTCTCTGCAGCTCAAGCTATAGAAAAATATAAATAAATACAATTTGTTACATTTAATGTATAATTTCAGGTATATAGTTTATGTATTTGCATGAACAAAAAGGCTCACTGCTTCTCTCTCTCTATCCATGATGGCCTCCAGCTCTTCAAAGTGTCTAAGTTTAATCTCTAGCTTCTTCATCTGTGTCTCTACCAATAGAGCCACCAAACTCTTGATCTTCCTCTCCTCTATGCTTGCTAGGTGTCTTGCTTTTACAGCAGCACCAGCTAGAGCAGCAGCAGCAGCGGTTTGTGTGTTACCCTCACTTGGGGGTCTCTCAAAAGATTTAGCAGTACTACTAGTGCTGGTGCTGGTAGTACTTGGCTTCTCTTCTCCTCCACTTTCTCCATTAGTCTTAGCTGCCTCATTCTACAAGAAAAGACAAATTAATGCTATTGCTCTCAACAATACTATTAACATGATTAACCTCTTGTGCTGGAGGCTTTGGTGATCTGCTGGAGCTTTTAAGATCTTCATTTTGCTGCTGCTTTGTTTCATCTTGCTTTGTTTCACTCTCTCCTCCTCCTCCAGCTGAGTCTTTACTCTCTTCCACTTTCTTTTCATCAGTAGCCACACGAGCTTCGTCTTTAATCTTAGAGAATTCCGCTAAAATTTAAAAAAAGAACAGAACCATTGAGTGAGAATGTAACCAGTGCATGTCTGCAGCCGAAGATATTCTTTTTTGCAAATTAAATACTTATTCAATCATATTATTAGATTTTCTGATACAGATACATGTGTTGATATGTTGCGTAAAAAATTTGAGCTGATTCCAATTTGATTTCTTAGATATAAAAACACCTAATTTTCAGATGAAATTTCACAACAGATTTCAATTTTTACCCAATGTTCAGAAAATGAAGCACAATTTACTAAAATTTTCTAATTATAATACCATGATAACTTATGTTATCATTGGAACCAAATATGTAATCTTGGCAGCAAAAAAAAACACCAAACCTACTACACATCACATGATGATATCACATGCACAATAGTACTTGTTTAAATCAGGAGTGAGTGCTAGTAACACACAGGACAAGCTGACTGGATTTGTCATTTCAGTTTAGAACAGAGAGAGGGAGGCCAATACTATCATATACTCAGTGATGACTTCCTTCAAGACTATCATCCTTATTGCAGCTATAACACTCATGCTACATGTAGCTGCAGCCATTGTCACAAGTGAAGATGAGAAAATACAATACTTGTGCTACAGAGATCATGAATGCAAGAACCGCAATGGGAAGGTAAGGAGAGGGTCTTAAGTCTAGTATACTGCTATAGTAATAATGTTTTCTTCATAGGTACCAGCACCAAACGATCACTTTCAATTTGTCTGCTGCACAACCTTACGCTCTCAATCCTATCAAATACAGCGAGGAGAGAACGTGCCAGGACCTTGTAGGCTGTGTTTTCACGGCCCAGATCAAGAAGAATAAACAAGATAAAACATATCATAGAGAAAGACTTTGTTTTGCATATACATGTACAGTATAATTATAAAATTTATAGTATAACATTTTCATCAATAGTAACAACTTGCTTTATTTAATTCGTGTTTTACCAGCAAGGAACTACTTTAACTGAACACATTCTTAAACTGAATGACATAGGCTACATCATGAAGAGCTAATACTAGCTACCAGTAAATTAGAGTTATTCCAAGACTTAAAATAACATAACAAGTGGGCTAATTGGCAGCTATCATAAAGTTATACCAAGTAATTAAGCATATAAAATCAACTTGGCCACATGGAAGTGCATGCACATACATGTACTGAAGTGCTAAAAAGTATAAAAATTGAGTTGGAATCAGCCCAAATTTTCTACACAGCATAACCAGATCAATATACATCAAAAAATCTAATAAATAATCAAGGGCGATTTCGGAGCCATTTTTTTGAAAAAAACATGGGCTATAGCCTTGGGTATTTTTTAGATTTTTGCTGTTTTCTTAAAATGGTTGTAACTTGAAAAATTGAAGTCGGAATCACCTCAAACTTTCTACACAGCATAAGTACATCAATATGTATCAGAAAATGTAATAAAAATTGGGGGTGATTTTGGAGCCATTTTTTGATTTTTTGGAAAAAACCATGGGCTATAGCCTTGGGTATTTTTCAGAATTTTGGCGATTTATTAAAATGGCTGTAACTTGAAAAATTGAAGTTGGAATCACCTCAAACTTTCTACACAGCATAAGGACATCAATATCTATTGGAAAATGTAATAAAAATGAGGGGTGATTTCGGAGCCATTTTTTGAAAAAAAACCATGGGCTATAGCCTTGGGTATTTTTCAGATTTTTGCCATTTTCTTAAAATGGCCGTAACTTGAAAAATTGAAGTTGGAATCAGCTCAAACTTTCTACACAGCATAAGGACATCAATATGTATCAGAAAATGTAATAAAAATTGGGTGTGATTTCGGAGCAATTTTTTGGAAAAAACTATGGGCTATGCCTTGGGTATTTTTCAGAATTTTGGCAATTTATTAAAATGGCTGTAACTTGAAAAATTGAAGTCGGAATCACCTCAAGCTTTCTACACATCATAAGGACATCAATATGTATCAGAAAATGTAATAAAAATTGGGGGTGATTTCGGAGCCATTTTTTGGAAAAACCATGGGCTATAGCCTTGGGTATTTTTCAGATTTTGCCATTTTCTTAAAATGGCCGTAACTTGAAAAATTGAAGTTGGAATCAGCTCAAACTTTCTACTCAGCATAAGGACATCAATATGTATCAGAAAATGTAATAAAAATTGGGGGTGATTTCGGAGCCATTTTTTGGAAAAAACCATAGGCTATAGCCTTGGGTATTTTTCAGATTTTTGCTGTTTTTTTTTTAATGGCTGTAACTTGAAAAATTGAAGTCAGAATCACCTCAAACTTTCTACACAGCATAAGGACATCAATATGTATCAGAAAATGTAATAAAAACTGGGGGTGATTTCGGAGCCATTTTTTGGAAAAAACCATAGGCTATAGCCTTTGGTACTTTTCAAAATTTTGACATTTTCTTAAAATGGCTGTAACTTCAAAAATTGAAGTCGGAATCTCCTCAAACTTTCTACACAGCATAAGGACATCAATATGTATCAGAAAATGTAATAAAAACTGGGGGTGATTTCAGAGCCATTTTTTGGAAAAAACCATAGGCTATAGCCTTGGGTACTTTTCAAAATTTTGACATTTTCTTAAAATGGCTGTAACTTCAAAAATTGAAGTCGGAATCTCCTCAAACTTTCTACACAGCATAAGGACATCAATATGTACCAGCCATTTTTCCCAAAAAACCATGGGCTATAAAACATCACCAGGCCATTTATTGAAATAATTTAAAACCCACAAATACGTACCCAAAGCTGATTTAGCAGCTGCAGCGGCGACCCTTGGATCAACAACTGACGCTAGAAAAGCAACAGTGGACATGACAGGGTTCCCTTGCTGACTGAACGGGATCGGCTGATAAGCAAGAGGACCCAGTTTCTCCCCTGGAGTATCCTCAAGATAAGGATCCTCAATCGGGAGCCGAAGGAAATGAAGAATACACTCGTCTTGTGAGCGAGTGGTCACATGACCCGCAACCTTGTTCCAGTCGTCTTTGAATAATTCCAGACCCTGTGGACGATACAACGAGCATTAAAATTAAGCCCACAAAATAATATATTAATTAAATAAATATTATGTTAATATTATAATAGTCACTATCATTACGATGTGCTGACCTCTAGTAAGAGCAATGTCTCCTGATCACTCCATGGCTTGGTCTTACTATCATTAGCATACATGTCATTCTTCAACCTGTGGACATTAACAATTATACATGTACATGTAGACACACAATAAAATAGAGAGAAGGAGAGAGAGGGGGGGGGGAAGGAGAGAGCAAGAAATAAAAAAAGAGAAGAAAGAGAAAGTTTTCCATTCGGCCATTACCCAAAGTTTCCGGCAGTGATATCATCAGTAACCTTATCGGTGGTTTGATCTGACATTTGGAGCAATTGATCAGTAGCAGACTGTAAGTAAAAGACAAATTATACACATAAAAATTTAAATCACAAATAATGGCATTAAAACTTAGCAGATCCCAAACAAAACTGGGTTTGTTCACAAAGTTTTAAAGTCGCTCCAAAAGGTACATGTATATGCTATTATAGTGCTTATCAGCTCATGAAGCTCGTGCTTTTTAGCTGACTTAGCATGCTTTGTGGAAAACCCTACACATAAATACATGTACCGGTACATGTTTGCTGCATGTAGTACATGTAAAGGTGGGACCGTGGGAGATACATTAACTTGTATCTTTAATTAAGTTAGGATATTCAAAGGATAACAAATCAGGATATCCCTACACTAATAGTGCTAGGACCAATTTCCTATCAAGATTCCCCCTACTAACAGACAGCAAAGGGCAGGAATGCACGAGTATGTACTCATATACCATGAAATAATGAAAACAAAATTAAACAGAAGTCAACAAAACTCATAATATATTTGATTAAAAAAGCATTTTTGCCATACAAGAAGGACGGAAACACAAACAGTTATTAAACATACAGAGACTCCCATACTACATTCCCACCACACATTCGGATACTGTACATACAAAGTAATACATACAAATACATTCACAATTTCACATATAATAATAAATAATACACACACACATACATGTACATGTACATGCACACAAACCTTATTGGTTGGTTTATTGATAGCTATAACTGGCTGAATGCCAGCAGGTGTGTCCACCATTACATTAAAGTGACCAGTAGAAGGAGGACCAATACTGTGAGAAGGCTCCACCCCGTAATTAATAATACCCCACTGCTCCAGTAGGCCATGGATACGAAGAATAGAACCAACATCACCGGCTAGGTTCCGCCTGCAGGCAGTCGTTGAGAGATATTCGGTTGGATTAAGACGAAAACTGTCCACCATAAAGTTACGATAAGCAAGATACCTAAAGACAAAAGTAGCATAAAACATCTTAGTTTCATACATGTACATGTATGTGTACATATACTCTCTCTAAATGATAACACAAGTATTTTACTTTCTTCATTACCCTCCTCTCTGTCTCTCTCTCCTTCTCACGTTTCTGGTGTTTTCGATTTATTTCTTCCATTAAAGAACTCAGGCAAGGACCGTTTCTCAATAGCGTGAATGCTATTATAATCAAACCAAGAGGAGTAGCTCGGGATTATAATCTTATTCACTTGACGGACGGCCGAGTCTTCCCCTGGCACCTCCTCTTGAGTAGTGAGTATCCTTTTCTCTTGTTCCTCTCTCCCCCCACCTTTAATCTCTTCTCCAATCACTCCGTTTGAAGTAAGAGGAGGTTGTGATGATGATGAAGTATCAGTAGTAGCTGTAGCCGTGGTAGAGAGAGGAGGAAGAGACTGTTCGGTTTCCATTGGTTCATTATTGACTGTATTAGGAGGGGGAGGGTCAGTAGGAGGAGCTACAGATGGACTAGCTGATGATTGCACTGTCGGTGGTAGCTCTAGTAATAAAGTAGGAGGCATCCCTATGAAAATGAAGATTCCATAACAGACTTTATAGCTAGTACAAGGTATCTATGTAATGCATGTATATAATATGCTCTTTGATGCAGTTAATGTATTTATAATGTACATGTACCTTCAGTCTCATTAACAGTGGGTGGAGCTTCTTCAACGTGTGGCACAGGAGGTGGGGCAGGTAGATCTTTAGTTAGATCCCTACAAAATTAAATGAATACACATGTATCATCAGCTACTCTCTTCTTTCCCTCTCTCTCTCTCTTCTCTTTCATACAAACTCTCTCCAGATGTACATGTACTATTATTGTTTCTCTCACTCGTCTTCATCTTGAATTGGCTTCACTCTCCTGGTAACTGTTCCTCTAAATAAATAAATAAATAAATACATAAATAAATAGATAAATAAATAAATAAATGAATGAATGAATAAATACATGAATTACAAGTACGTGTACCTCTTTCTCTTCTTGATGGTGTCCCCTGGTGATGGAGAAGCTGACCTCTTCCTCTTGGTTCTATCACGTTTGACGCTCTCCATAGAATCACTCTAATTAATGCACACCAGATAAAAATAAACTACTACACTTTAAATTTTTGGAGCAAAAAAGAAAATTTTGAATTAGAGAATAGGCTTACTTCTTCAGGAATGTTAGCCACTCCTCCTCCTCCTCCTATAGCCATAGATAAGGTTCGTTTCATTAAATTATTAGTAGGGAGGGCTTCAATCCAATGACCTTCATTAGTCTGTATAATAATAATAATAATAATAATAATAATAATAATAATAATAATAATAATAATAATAAATAATAATAATAATAATAATAAATAATAGCAATGTAATATGTAAAGTAGAACTTTCATACAAACACACATTGTCCACCATTACGCGTACATACCATAATCATCTCATAGTCTTCTTCATTCATCCATTCATTGAACTTGTCACTGTCCTCAATCCAATGGTGGCTCACGTACCACTGCTTCAGACTAGGAGGCTCAAGTATCCCAGGGAATGAGTTCAGGCCGACCTCACTCGGTGATACTATGCTGTCGTAACTATATAATGTATGATATAAGTCACATGATTATCACATGACTGGACATGACGTACCTGTCTGGATACTGGTACCAATGGATGAGCATTGACTTTCCTCTTTGCTCCAAAGGACGAAATAAATCATCTTAAGAACAAAATAAAACTAAATGCATGTATTCACAATATGCTTCATGACGTATATAAATTTTAAAGTCAGTGGTTTTGTACATGTAAATATGTAACAAGACACATACATTATACTGTGTATAGCTCATAAACTACAAATTATTATGCATAGAAATTAGAGACATTAGTACTAACATATTACGTGCACATGCACATACATGAATATATGTATGTACATGTACATGTTTAGATGTAGCTACAACTCAATATACTCACTCTCTCTCCATTCCTGTCTCTTTCCAGGCATTATGATGTGAGTAGCTTCATTCTCTGAGCTAACAACAAGCCCCTGGTGTCTCTTGCAGAGATCCATGAGTCTAGGGGCATCAGGTAGTGTCGGGGGTATGTATATCTTTGGAGGTTCCCATATCTTGCTGGCGGCCATGTCACGATGAATGGTCATGAACAGCTCAAGGCCACGATCCATTCTTGAGGGAATTAAAAAATCAAATCTTCTCCTTTAGAAAGAGAGAGAGAGAGAGAGAGAGAATGAGTAGAGTAGGAGATCACTTTCTTACTTACCATGATTGTTCAACCTTTACTTTATAAGCAATGGCGAGTATATTGCATAAGGTGCCATCAGTAGTAAAATCATCAAATAATTTAACCTAGTGAAAATACAATAATTATGTGAGCCTTCTTTCCCCCCCCTCTCTCACTGCTACATACAGAAACAATAATAATAAACAATAATAATAATAATAAGCAGCAATAATAATAGTGCATGTACTTACAGGTAGTTTCATAAGAGCTGGTTTATTCACATGTCGTCCAAAAGCGTCCTATAAAATAATAATTAAATTATTATTATTACATGTATATAAGCAATCAAATAAATAAATTAATAATTTTTACTATCGGTAATGCTGACCTCTTGAAACTGCAACATGGAGCAGGTGAGGATAGCTAGGGACTTGTTGCTAGGAGGATCCACTTGAGTATACTAAAAACAAAATGGCTTCAATGTTATTTCCAATTAATGCACACCTTTTTGTGGTTCTTCAACAGCCAGAGCCTCACAGTCTCAAATTTCCCTATAGTCTCAGTAGACTCGTAATATTTTCCATCAGGACCCCCGGTTTTCTTTTTTAGGCTCATAATTCTCTTCAGTTCTCTGTCAATCTTAGCTACAACCCGCCAAATTGAAAGAAATAATTTCTTTATTTACGGTATAATATACGTTGTATTAGAAATAGGCAAATGATGGTTATTAATAGTTATAAAGTTTATTGAACTAAAATTTTTATAATACATACTAATTTTTACTAAAAATAATCATAATGTTTAAGTTAAAAGTAGCTATAGCAAAAATAAATAACTAAAAAATTACTGAGACAATCTAAGTATAAGTTGTTTCTTTAATTTCTCGGCTTCCTTTGTCATTTCTTCAACTTGAAGTTTCAACCTGGCATTCTCTGACTCAAGTTCTTTCTCACGCTCAAAAAGAGACTTCATCTTTTGCTTTCGCTTTGCTCTTGAGACCTTTGAGGCTGCGTTATTCTTTTCTTTCCTCTCGGCCTTTTTGGCGAGTTTGCTAGGAGAAATGGGAAGAGGATCAACGTCGGAACTAGCTTTCCTCTTACGACCATCAGTAGCAATCATATCATCAAGTAAAGAAGGAGCAGGACTACACACAGAAGAAGAGATTGGAGAGGGAGAGACGGGGAAGGTTGTGGAAGATGCCGATGACACAAAAGGAGAAGAAGATGAAGATAAAGGTGACTGAGGTGCAGCGGTAGTACAGGTAGTAGCATTAAAGGTATAAGGAACAGCATCATCGCTAGAAACTTGCGTATGTAGCAATGACTGGGTATAATCAGGAGTTAAGAAAGAGGAGGAGGAGAGGGAGGGATCTAGGAAGGCAGACAGGTCAAAGACACTGTCAAGCATAGGGTTATCCAGGGGGTCAACCTCTGGGGCTCTTTCGGGTGGAGAACAAGACTCCCCCTCTCCACCAATCGACGGAATATCCTGCTTGAGGCAATACTCGAGCAAAGAATCGTCTAATTGGAAGAGAGGGTTGTCATCATCGGCACCAAAAAGGTCCAGAGTTCCATCCATAGAAGGATCTTCGTTGTTAGTAGGTGGTATGTTAAACGCATGACAAGGTTGGGTCAAGGAGTGTTGTGAGACACAGTTGACCTGAAGATCCCGGGTCGGGGTCACATATGGAGGCTGCGGGGCCTCCTTGAGTATAGTCTCTATACACAGGGTGTTCGAAGGACAAGGGTCCTTTAGCATTGACAAAGATACTGGTTGCCATTTCTCAGAATAAGGAAATAGAGTGTCGGTGATTGAAGTAGAAATTGTGAATGGAGGGTAAGAAACGCTTGAAGACAAGCTACTGGGAGCTGCCCTTTTGGTTTTTAGCTCTTTTTGAGTGCCCTACAGGTCACGTGACCTAAAAGGCACCAAAGTGGGAGGCTAGCTTTGCTGAGAAACTCAAGGAGGTACTAAAGAAGACTTTGCTCTGAGGGCACGCCTTCTTTTAATTAAGTTCTGTTGGAAACCTTTCAGTAAAGAAACTTTCTTAACTGTTTGACCAGTGGACGTTGGAGTATAAAGCCTTGACGCCTTTAAGGCTGCTGGAAACACTGGAACTGTTACTGAGGCCGCAACTGAGCTCTGTAAATGTGAAGTGAACGGAGAGTGTCCTTGTCTCTTCTTATAATTGCAGCTGGTGGTGCAATAGTTACTAAATATAGTAACACTAGGTCACGTATTCATGACATCAATCATTTGCTATTTCCGGATTCAGTCTTAAAATATTTTAATTAGAAGGCGTTGTCTTATTACGTCATTGATAATAATCTATTTTTAGATTTCAAAATGGCGAAGAAAGGCGGGGCTTGTTCGAATGGAATTAGAATTCCATATACTCCAATAGCTGTAGATTATTTCCACCGTCCCTCTCTTCCAGCTAGGACTCTTTTCTTTTTAACTCATTCTCATGCAGGTACTGAGGTCTAGCTTATAATTATTTTGAGTAAATCAAAATTTTTATTAAATTAATTTTAACCACTTTAAAACTTGATTAATAGAATTAAATTTTTGCCTAAAATTTGTGGTAAATTTTTCTAAAATTATTTTTATAATTATAAATTATTTAAAAATTATTTGCAACTAGATTTGTTAAATTAAATTAAATGTTAAATTATCATGCTATATTGTACTCAAAAAATTCCAATCTTTTAATCTGCTTTACATGAATAGATCATTTATATGGATTAGACAGCTCATTTGATCAAACTATATATTGCACGTCACTAACAAAGCAACTAGTACTCCTACACATATCAATAGATCCAGACCTCTTGGTAATGTCACCTTCTGTCCCTCTCTTCTCTCTCTCTCCTTCAATTATATTTTATTTTTATTTTTAGTTTATTTTTATATTTATTTTATTTTTATGTAGTAATATCGAAGCGTAATTTTTCCTCAGTCCCATATAATTTTTGCCCTTGTTAGGTCGAGCTTGAGTTTGATGAGCCCAGGCAGTTACAGGTTGATTGTCCTGGTAATGTTTTCATCAGCGTAACAACTATTGATTCTTGTCATTGTCCTGGTTCTGCCATGTTCTTGTTTGAAGGATACTTTGGTACAATACTACATACTGGGGACTTTAGGTACATGTGAATGTAGAATCTCTCCTTTTAAATTTTCATGAACTTTGGCCAAAGTTCCTGTACAAGGACTTTGGTCCAGTTTTTGAGTAACTTTAAAAATTTGTAAAAAATCCAAACTTAATCGGAATCAGCTCAAACTTTCTACACAACATAAAAACATGTATATGCATCAGATAGAATTATAAAAATAAGGAATTGTCTTCTTTTTATTTTTGACGAAATTTGACAAAATCCCTGTACTATAATTTTGGCCTGATTTTTGAGTAACTTTAAAAATTTGTGAAAAATCCAAACTTAATCGGAATTGGCTCAAACTTTCTACACAACATAAAAACATGTATATGTATCAGATAGAATTATTAAAATGAGAAATTCTCTTGTTGACATTTTTGACAAAATTTGACAAAATTTGAGCAACTAAAAATCCAATTTTTATTGAGTAGTTTTATCAAATTTCTCACATTTTTCATCATTAATTTTATTTTAATAGGCTGAGTCCTAAATTGCTGGCTCATCCATTGCTCAAAAACCTTGAACCAGATGTACTCTATCTTGACAACACCTACAATGACCCAATCTTTGATTTCCCAGAAAGAGTAAGTGGTGATCCCAATTTTCAATACAATAATAGCTAGAAATTTCTGTGGCCCAAAATTCCTGTAAGTTCAAGTATGAAAAAAATCTAAAATTTAATCCTCAAAAATTTGGGGTAAATTCACAAAAATAAAATCCGCAAAACCATTTTTATAGCAATTTGCAGAAATTTTAGGCCACAGCTACATGTGTACAGTCTTTTTATTGAGTACATTTTCAGTTAATATTATGATCTAACCAGACTAACCATTAGGTCACATGCCCTCCAAGCATGCCTATACCTTGTGCTAATCTTTTATGTTTTCTTTGTGCAGTAGGAGTGACTAAATTCATGAAGCCATTCTACCATGCATGCTAATACGTATATCTATACTCATATCCTTGTACAATGTACGTGTACATGTCTATACCTGGTATTATAATGTAGCCATATCCTGGAATAATAAGGGTGTAGACTAGACAGCCGCATTATTAAGGATGGGAGCATGTACATATACATGTATATGGTCAGTTGGTTACACATTCTCACAGTTGGGGCTAGTCGTATACTTAATATTGTAGATGTATATGATACTGCTACATGTACATGTACATACTGAATGCAACACTAGTAGCTGCTTTTATAACCACTGCCCTTGTGATGGCCTGATGTTATTTGCTAATAATGTGTAGCATATACTTTGACTTGAGTCTATAACTTACTTAATATTCCTTTAATTATGCATCCCCTCCAACAAGAACCTTGTATTCCCCAGCATACAGTAATACAACTATAGTAACGATGGAGGTTTAGCTCTATTTTGCAACGGAATACCATTCTATATTGTTTTAATAATTAAACAAACAAAAGGGAACAATGTTAGTTTTTCAAGACCACCCTTTAGTCTGGAAGAGGCAAGACTAAAATAACTGAAGTATAAGGCCATCTGGTCCATGCCCTTTAGCTAGATCATTTAAGAGCCCCACATGCATGCATGTAGATGAATTTAATGTTGTTTAATGTTTCTTAGCTCTTGCATTATCATCTTATAAATTGTTCCAGTTTATTGTATCAACTGGTTCACTTATATAGTTTGTTTGGTTGTCTGATAGACAGTCAGAATCAGGCCACACAATGCACACAGGTTTGAAGCATAGAACAAACATGGTAGCACACACCCTTAGGGTGTGGATCACTGTTGTTTTATGCTCCAAACTTGTGTATTGTGTGTGGTTTAATGGGGTGATTACTTTAATGGAGTTATCACTTAATGGTATCGTGTTTATTGTATGATTTGTATCCCTCCCTCCTTCCCTCTGTCTTTATTAATTTTATTTTTATTTCTACCTCTCTCTCTCTCTCTCTCTCTTTGTCTTATTGTAGTCAGTCACTTGTGATAAAGTGGTTAAACTTGTCAAAGATAATCCACACCTAAGAACCTTCATTGCATTCAATAAACTTGGAAAGGAAGACCTGCTAGTTAATATTGTGAGAAGTACAGATTACGCTGTAAGTGGGAAGAGTTTATTGAGCACCTCCATTGCAATCATACTATGATAAAATGATAAATATGACCATGTTTGCATGATCTTTGGCTTATTATTGTAGATTGGTGTTAGTTCAGAGCAGTATAAAAAGATGGAGATCTTAGGATTACATCATGTCTGCTCACTTGATTCTGATCAGTGCCAAGTCATTGTGGTACCTTTTTATGCTGTCACCGAAGCAAAGTAAGTCCATTTTATGCTTTGAAATTGCATATGTCTATTTTTCAACATCTTTCTTTACTTTTCTCTCTCTCATTCTTTGTCTATAGTGTCAATCGTTGGATAAATGAGTGTCCCACGCAAGTCATTATTCCTACTAGTCGGTTTGAAGGCTCAGAGCATCCCCTTAAGGCTTACCCTTGTGTTCATATTGTACAATACTCGGATCATTGCTCCTACAAGGAGTTGTACCAGTTTGTAGAACTGGTTAAACCTGTTAGCATTCATCCTGTTGTCCAACGAGATAAGGTCTCCAATATGAGCTGTTTTGAGCATTTACGGAGTTCAAGGAAAATTGTAAGTTTTGTGAAGTTAACTTGAATGAATAGCATTGAAGTATTACAAAATTTTCATGCTTTGGGTATTACTTGTACTCTTAAAATTAAATGATTTTGCAATTAGGAAGTCACAAAATATTTTATGCAGTGTATAACTATATCTTACTCCTCCCTTCACCTCTCTCTCTCCTGTAGACTGCATATGAGATACCAAAAGGCATCAAAAGTCTTTTATATTCTCGGACTGACGGTATATTTAGACACTCTCCTTCAAATTCAGGCAGCAAGCCATCATCAAGGAAGTATGTATGATAGCCATAATACACCAGGCAATTTTATTCCAGGCAAATTAAGGTTATTTGATTAAGACTAGTGTTACCCAGGATAGGAAGCTGTTGTTCTATTCTGGGCAGCATGCTGCTTTACAATATCAAACTAACCACACACTGCCTGTAATTGGATTGCCTAATGTATAATAGCCGTACATTTTTATATTACAGGTGTGTTTTTTCAGATCACTCAAACCGCCGAAAGGTGTCCGTTACTTATCTCCTAAGAAACCAGAAGTCACTATCATATCAGACACCACCAAACCTCGTGACCACCTCTTCCCACACCACCCAACCACACCTGTAGCAATAAACACGGCCAGTGTACCTCTAACAACCAACACTGTACCTCTAACAATCAACACCGTCGACGCTACTCAAACTTTAAGTCCTGCAGGGCTTCCCGTGAGAGACTCTTGCACCTGTTCAGAGCCCTTTCCCAAGCGAATTAAAACCACTTTATCGCCTATCAACGCGGCCACAAGTACAGATGTTATTGATAATGCGAGTCATTTCATTGAGGAAGAAAAGGCAAGTGATATTGAACATGCAGCTCCTAAACAAGGAGAGGGCAACACTGCTAAACTACCATTGCTTAATTCTCATTCGTTTGATACTACAGATGGATTGTTGTCATGGATCAAAATGGTTGGAGAGCAAATGTATTATGATCAACAACTCTACTCTATAGACAATCCTGACTGTACATGATGTAATGTACTAAGCAGCAATACTTGCATGTGCTGGCTGAATGTACCATTTTAGTCAAAACTTTTTAAAATGAAATTACACAAAAATGAAAAAATCAATGTCAAAAAGGCTATTAGGAAAATCTCTAAAAATTAGCACAATTATATTAATTACAGTTTCTAATTATAGTTTCTTTAGTCTTGTATTCTTACAAGGCAGTTGGGCAGCGATAATAAATGGTAGGACATTCACTCAAGTCATCAATATATCCTTGAAACAGTGTGCTGTTAGCTGCTGGCTTCTTTCCAATGCTTATAGTTTCATTTCTTATAGCTTGAATGGTCTTTGCCCATTTTCTGTCGCCAATAGCACTCTCGAAATGATCAACAATGACTCTTACCTGAAAAGATAAAAATTTAAATGAGATGGGCAGCCATGTCTTCATAGTGATGACTTCACTGTAGACTCTGTGGGTGATATTTCCATTGTCGATAGTGATATTTCCTTCATCTAACTGTATATTGAGCATATGATCATCTTTACTCATGTAGATTAGAGTCCCTGGTCTCTCCATCCATACTCTTAATGATATGCTTTCACATTTTGACTGAGTAGTTTGCTGAACGAAAAGGTGCTTGCAACTATCACCAGGTAGATACTGCAACCTTGTAGGATTCAGAGGAAGACCTTCAAGAGATGTTTGAAGGCCTTTCTGTAGCATATCAACTGTCCCTTTGTATGCCTGCAGCTCTGAGGTACCTCGTCCAAGACAAATTTTAGTCGTGTTGTGTACTATGCTAGATTTTCTTATCTTGATGGTTTCTTTGTAAGTTTCTGATTGAAAGGTAATGCTACCATTCATTGAAAACGAGAAATGGTAGACACTGTCAGAGAGGAGAGATTTGTTAAAGCTTACGACATTAATACTGCCTCTTTTTCTGTAGACAGCAAAATGAAGCTTTGAGTTCTCAATGTAAAGAGATGCCATCATGTGAAGAGAGTCAGAATTACTGTGAAAAGTGAGGAGGACACCATTAGGAGGATATGGGGGCTCGAATCTAAGGGAAAGGTAAGATGAAAAGGAATCGTAATCAAGAATGTTGTAGCATTGATAACTTTTTCCGTTTAGATATATTGGTCCTTCAGTAATACCTATAAAGTATACAATATAGTGAAGCATAATGATGTAAAAATAATTTCTTACTCTCAAAGCAACTTTCATTTCTTCCAGCGCAGGAACACACACCCACTCCATTAGACCAGTCATTGATACATATCTCTTCTTCCCTGCAGGTTTGATCCTGACATGGTTCTATGCATCCAGGACTTGTCATGTTCTGGAATACCGGTTCTGCATAGGATGGCCAATAAGGCACTCTGTCTGTATTGTTCCTAATAAGTACGTTTTTAATGCAACCTTTGAAACTACTAGGACTTGGTTTGACAGAAAGTGGAATGCCTCCAATATAAAGTGGAGTGGTACCAGTCTTCAGAGCATAATATTTCGATTTGCCTGATAGTTTTGTTTCCAAATTGTCATCGATTCTCACTATAATTCTACGTGTATCGTGTATGAGTATGAGATGGTGCCATTGGTCATCATTAAATAGGCCAGTACCAGTACCTTGCATTAGAGGACCAGTGTCAGTTGAACCTGAAGCGAGTTTTGCTGAACAGCCAATCCTACCATTCTGTAGAGCAACGTGAACCAGGTGAACATTGCTAGCAGTGTAGATGAGAGTAGCATTCTGTTCAGAGGTTTTGAATGCAAGCTCTATCCTTCCAGATATATAAGCTGCCCACGTGTAATATCGTGAGTAGGCATTTCCCGGGTGGAAAGTGTGATTGAGGCCTTGAGCTGCATATGAGCCTGGTACGTACAAGAAGCTAGCCAGAAGACAGAAAGATAACACTATGATATAATTGTTCATTGCTCTGGCTGTGCTGTGAGCTTATGATGTCGCACAATCAGTTTCTCCTTGTTTTTATAGGCACTGAATTCTGTGGGCTTCAGGTTAACATCACGTGAGACAATGATGAGGAAGGAGCTTTTACAGACTATAGCTTAAAGTCAGTAGTGCATGATTGATTTGAGTCTGGGATAATCAGCCCAAACCATCATTTGTGAACTAAAATAGCCTATCATATTGGGCCCTTTTGCAAATGGTTGTAACATGAAAAGATTCAGTAATAACTTGGTGTTGATGCAGTTAGCAGTCTACTGCAAATCATAATATTCAGTCCCTTACTAGGTCACTAGCTCCCCCTATTATGTGCTATTATGTGCTCTTGCTTTTATTTATACCCAATAATAGGAGTTGAAAATGCACAAACGTATTTTATAAACATGCATGGGCACTATAAGCATTCAGGTCTGAGGTTGCAGGCAGGTCAGCTAGTCCGGTTAATATTCCCTGTCATTATGGCTCATTACAAGACCACACATTATAAACACACTTCTAACCTAGTTCAACCCTTGCACCGGCGACCCTTGCACACAACTGAGGGTCAAGCCATGCCTACTAACCTCACTATGAATTTCAGTTCAACTCTTATTACTACTATGTAACATCACGTAACTTAATGATTTTATAGATCAAAGAGCATTATTTATATCAGGATTCCATAATGTGCAGTGTTATAAACTCCTAGTTGTTACATTATACTGTACAAAAGGAAAGAGGCTGACAATAAGACTAACTATAGTTAGCCTCTGGTCTATATTTCACTGTGCATAATTTAATACCTACTGATACAAAAGTTTTATGAGATGAAACAATTTACCCTGGACTGTGATGTCCTATTATTAGCATTAATGTGAAGTTAATAATTTGTCCCATACATGTACGATTGGCGAGTATTATAATTTTCTTTTTAACTGGCTTCTTTTTTAATTTTTATATTTATAGCATAGACAGCTTTCTGCCCTCTCTTTTTGGTTAAAGCCTGTGGTATACATTGTGCTATACACTAATACAAACTCTATTTTATTCTTAACACAGCTGTGGTTAGCTGATATTTCAGGATTTCTTGTTATCGCAGCTTCACCCAGCTTGTAGATAATTTAATTTCGGGAGAAGAATATAATATACATAGACAAATGTACTCTTATTTTTACACGCCAACATATGTTGACCTGGCGCACCTTTTAACCTCATAATTTTCAGTTTGCGATAAGAGTTAGTGACCTGTTGGTGGTTTTGGGCTGATCGGGATGGTACGGGGCAACACGACTCCTTGGTACTTTACAGGTTTGATGTATGGTGAATGTGTAAGGGAAAGGTGAACATAACGTTTTGAGATAAACATGCTGAGCATGTACTAGATGATCAAGTAATCATATTATTGTACTTTTATTGAAGGTGAATGTGTACTGTAGGTAGAGTGCAAATATTTTAAGTCCAGACAGGTTTTTTTAGTAGCGCCTATTTTTAACTATTATTTTAATGGCTTCAGTCTTAAATCTTGATTTTTTAACTGCCCTTAATCCTTCAATGCAACCACTAAAAATATCTCTTGCTTAATAAAAATAGTTTAATTTACAAGCTGGCCACGTGTAATATTGTGAGTGGGTGGAAAGTGTGAGTGAGGCCTTGGACTGCATTATATGTGTCTGGTGCCAGTGGTGTAGTGGCTAATAGAAATACAATGAAGAATTTAATTACATCTAAGGATGGGCAGATGGGAGAACCATAGAATATCTATGGGAGAACAGAAGTCAGAAGCTTGAGAAAAAGCGTGTTTAAGGCGTGGCTTACCACGCCTTTTGTGACGTCATGGTGCATGCACGTGTTTTGTTAACACATAAAATGAAGTATTCGTGAAGAATTTTGTTACTAATACAGTTACTACTTTTGCTCTAGAATTCTATGAGAAGAGATAATAATGTCGGAAGACAAGAAAAAAGACGTAAGAATCCATCTTCTCTCTTTCGGGTCCTGTTAATGTTATCCCGCTACTATTTACAATTTTTAGGAGAAAAGAAATCTAAAAGAATTGAACGATTTGTTGAAGCAGAAAGATGCCGACAAGCAGCAACTACAGGCCAGGTAGGAATAAGAGCAGAGAGAGAGTGTGTGTGTGTGTGTGTGTATATGTGAAAGAGAACGATTATGGAGCTCAGGCTTTGGGCTTGTTTGTTTTTTCTTTGTGGTTTGGCATTACAAGACATTATAATTATATTATACATACCCTAGCTTTAATAGCTATCTTTATAATACATGTTTAGTTTACTTTTCTCTCTGTTTAAGTGTTTGTTTAAAATTTGATTAAAGCACACTAAATGTATATATGTGTGTCTAATGGCATGAAAGAGGTGTCAAGTCACAACATGGCCTGTTATTGTTCTCACTCTCTTTCTCTCTCTCTCTTCTCTCTCCTCTCTCTCTCTCTCTCTAGTTATGATGAAGCTCTCCAGGCACTAGCTGACAGCGAAGCAAAGAGAGAGACAGCAGAAAGAGAATTAAAGATAGTAAGACAAAAATGACACTAAACAGGCCATCATGTACCTGGCTATATCAAAATTTACATGCATTTTAACAATACATGCATGTACATGTATTGAATCAGTTATTTCTGTTATTATTATTACTATCAATTTGTTAGGCTCAGGATCAAATGGCGACTATGTGGAAAGAGCTTGAGAGTCTTCATCAAAGGCTAGACGGGTCTCACCCTCGTCCCAATCCAGTCTCAACTTCCTCAGTCATTGTATCAGTGTCTCCCCAATCTAATGTAGCCCAATCTTACACTACTAACACTCCTTCAGCTAAAACCACTTCAAATGTTAGTTTATTTTTCTTACCCTTTTTTGTATGCTCCTCTCTAATTCTTTAATCTTTCTCTGTTAGCCATTTTTATCTTCTGATATATTTCTTTCTCTCTCTCTCTCTCTTTTTTTTACATTAGATATCATCACCACATCATCTTTGTCCTGTCACATCTCCTTCTGTCATTTCAACTGCTTCTCCTTCTCAAGAGGCCAATGGTCCTATTGAGCTTTGCTGTACATTGTGCAATGAAAAGATAAGGTATGACAGTAACATTAATATATATGTTTACATGTAAGCACTGCAAGTATGAGTGTAATGTACTTCTTGTATTTGTGTGTCTTAAGAGGTTTATTTTGTGTATCAAACCATCTTTATGGGTTGATCTTAGTGTCACGTTACATATAATTGAAATGCTATTGTGAGATCAATCAAAGTAGAATATTCCAGTCATGTGAGTGGTATAGTTTGTTGTAGGGAGGGAGGGAGATATTTTTAGTTGTTACAGCTGGTACAGCTTGCTTTCTTTGGTATTTTAATCTTTTGAGTTGTGTCATGAGGTGTGTGAAGTTGCTAGTGCCTCCTCCTTTGGGTGTGCATACTTTGTCTGCCAGCTTTGTTTATCAAGCCTTATATACAACTAGTGGGTGAGGAATAGGGACATAAATTAAAGGTGTGTACATCCACTCACTAGTGTTGGATATCATGGGATTATGTACTGATAGTTTGTCATGTTATAGTTACCATCAACAGTTTTGAGTTTATGTTTATGACGGATTTGTTCTTGCATTACATTGCTCCATGCTTGATAACACAGTGTTATTATTTATAAGCAGCTACTGGTCAGGCTATTTTAGTTCCACCATGTTTCCTTCCTAGAAGCATTAAGGTACTCTACCATTCTCATCAATTGTTGTCCATTAGTGTGTGGGTTGTAGTCCCTTTACTATGACACATGCCACTACCAGTTGGTTATCATTTATAAATTGTTACTGGGACAGTTCTCATTATTAATACACAGCATTATGGATGAGATGTTCCTTTGGTATCTAAATATTTATAATGCTTCTCATTCCTTATGAACTATGGGGGTGGTGGTATTAATATGTTTACCTGTATATCAATATGGCCTACATGACTGTGTACATGTATATATGTGTGAAGGTTCCTTGGGGAGATTGGCATTGGGTTTGGTATGTGATTAGTCTATGTCTGCTCAATATGTTAGTATGCAGCATACCTTGTATACTCCTGTACACTGGAATGTGTTGTGATGAAATAGTATAATCATTAATTCATTATATGTATAGGATGCACTATATCATTTAATAGTATTACTGTATGCAGTATATTTAGTTTGGAATGCTTCCATTACTAATTATTCTCTGATGTGTTTATACAGTGGTAATGTGCTTGGAATGCATTGGTATTGGTCTTAAGTGAATATGTTTATATATCATTACTGCAGGCCTTACCTTTCATCACTATACAGTATATACACATGTACTATAGCATCATTCTAAGGATTCTTAATTAGTTTCTGTGCGGTTACTGGAATAGTGAAGTAGCTATGTATGGATTCTGCTTCATTGTGTTCAGCATTAATTGTAAAAATTTGTCACATTAGCACGTAAATTTTGTTAAATTTAGAGCTAATGTAGTCACACTGTTATAACGCATTGAGTAGCAGGAGTTTGTGAATGAATATATAAAGTGTATGTGAGTGTTTCTATCATTAGCACTGTTATCATAACTCCCCTCTGTATTGTTGTGCTACATTGCACTAGCTAATATCTCATTTCTATGAAATACAATTTTAGATTCACTGTCTAATGAGCTTCAGAATATGATGGACTGATTTAACGAGCTATTGGTCCTTTGATATTGAGAATATCCTTAAAAGTGCTTGCTCATTAATGGTGTTCGTTCGAGATGTGATTGTAAATGGTTTTACTTATAATCCTATACATTCACAATGGCCTAATTTTTATATGTGTCCATTCTATATATGTAATCATTTCACATGTTAGAAATTGGTGTGATTGCTAAAATGGTCATCAATGAAACCAGAGCTCCACAGATTATGTTATACTCCCCCTCCTCCTCCTCCTCCTCTCTTGTTGCAACAGTTGGGACATTTCCTCTTAAATTGCTTGTAGCTGCTGCTACTAATTGAATAACGTATCCAGTTGACAATTCCTTACTGTTGTTGTCATTGAATGACATGAAATGTTAGCATAAGACACTAGTAACTGATTATTAGTATATACAATATGTATTATGTCACAATAGCCTAATACTTTATTAGCAAAACTATTGATATTATGATGAGTACAGTTGATGCTGTAAAACGGGAGAGAGAAGTGAGAAAGAAAAAAAATGATATTTGTGATACACAGAGAGGAAGAAGGTTTATGTAGTTATGGGTCACAGACCTGCAGAGGTTTGTGTGTGAACTAGTTAACACTGTGTAGTGATCAATGGTCTCCTGGTGGGAGTTATCATGTACACTGCCTACCTTTGGGGACTCCTTCTTTCACCAGCTCATCATATAATGTCATTATACCCTGACTCTATATGATCAACTAGTACACACTTTGTATTTGAATCTAACACTGGCTGATATATGTACTTATAAGCTCTTATTGCCTATTAGAGATAAGCTTGCCTTTATTACGTAGCTCTGTTAGCAGTCTTCAGACACAACACTTAAATATCTTCACACACACACACTTGCTATTTAATAAGTATAATAGTATTAATAGTATTACTGTGTCCTCTATACTTAGTTAACACATGATAATGTTAAATAGACTATGTTAGTACTACATGCTGCATGCATATATTTAATTTTATTAATATTTTAATGGCTCCCATGATTCGTTTCTTTATTGTCCCCACAGATCAGGTACTGTTCCTTTAGTACCCACGCCAACGCCCACTCCCTCTAATTCTCCCGCCCACTCTGCCCCTAAGACCAAAACTTCATATAGGCTCTGGCCTTTTGGTGGCGGTAATAGTCACCACAAAACCAGGTGAACCCACTCATTCTCTTTGATTTACATATAGATAGTATATATGATATATCTTTGTTTGTAACCATATTTAGTGTGTTGTACTGTGTTGGTGCTAATGTTGTCTAACATTCTATTTTCTTTGTGTGTGAGTGTCTCACTCTTTCTTTAATAGTTTGTTTAGTAACTGGTTATTACCCTCTACTGTAGAGTAGTGATAGTCTCTTTATAGTAGTTGGGTTTGTTCCTTATGTGTCCATTAAAATAATGAGTGTTGTCATGGGTGTATGTTCCTATTAGTGGGTGGTTGCCTCTATATGGTGTTGGTCTGATTGTGTAGGTGTGGGTGACTGAATGACTTTCTGTTTAATTTTATGTTTTATGTGTTCATTGTAGAGATTAGTGTGTGTATGTACACATTAGCTTTGTCATGGTTACTGGAGGAGACACATTCTTGTGTGTAACTGATCAGTGTCCTTGTTTTATATCTTCTTCTCTCTCCCTCTCTCTCTCTCTCCCCCCCCCCCCTCTCTCTCTCTTTAGATTAAATGATTTAAATGATCATTCAAAAGTTTGTTCATCTAAACTGAAGTCAACTTCTCCCTCTCCTCCAACACATAGCCCAAAGCAACAAAGGAAATTACAATCAAGGTGACTGAATATTAATATTGAATTCGTACCCTGTGACAAATAATTGATTGCCTTCATCATTTACCCTCTTTTTTCCTTTCTCTCTCTCTTTCTCCCTCTTTCTTTTTATTTCAGAGGTTCATCTCCAAAGATCCAGCCAGAGAAGCGTTCCTCATCACTAATAGTTAATGTCACTCGCACTCCAACAGCTGCTACTGATCTTGCTCCCTTTAAAGTCGTCACTTGGACTAACATGACCTCCCAGTTCTCCTCAGAGTCCTACGAGGTGTACAGGAGTGCCGGAGACTTTCAATGGCTTCATGACGTACTCCAGGATAACTGCCCAGAGAGAGCAGTACCTCCACTTAGGACAACCATATCTCTTGATGGTAAGACTATACTACTATACTAATGTAATGATGGCCTGTACATGTGTATAAGCTATAGATGTACAATGTACATGTTATAATGATCTATGACCCCAGTAATAATAAGCTTTTATTTGATGTGTGTACATGTACTGTATATTTTGTGTAGTAAGAGTTTAGGCATGCTTTTACTAGGCTGGACCTGTTTGTGTAGAAGCTATGGATGTACATGCATATAATAATTTATGACCCCAGTAATACAGGCTTTCATTTTGATGCATGAACATGTGTATAAGGCTTTAATGTAAGCTATACATTTACATGCATATACATAATATCAAGAGTACATAATATATAAAGAGAGTATCGAATGGCCCTATAGAAGACTACTGCATGAGGGCGTATTTGCTCAAAGTCACAATCTGCATACTCCAGTATACTTATGATATCACGTGATCCACCATGTTGCAACATTATCTGGCCCTTAGCTTTTAAAAACTTGGCAATCTCTTCCAATACAAGAAAGGAGCTTGAAAGAAGGCTGGAAAGATGAACTACAAAGGCAGTGCTGCTAGTATCCAGGAGTTTGTGCCCCAAGCACTTGCCAACTCGCGACAATGGCAACTCAATGTCTACGCGATAATTATATTCATTGATAAAGTATACTGGAGTATGCAGATTGTGACTTTGAGCAAATACGCCCTCATGCAGCAGCTTGTATAGGGCCGTTTGATGCTCTCTTTAAGTATTATATACTCTTGGTAATAATAATCTATGACCCCAGTAATAATAAGCTTTCATTTGATGTGTGTACATGTATGTGTATTTTATGAAGTAAGAGTTTAAGGATGCTTTTACTAGGCTGGACCTGTTTATGTAGAGTGTGTGTGTGTTTGTCATGCATTCATTGAGTTTATTATTGGGTTACTCATTCATATAATTGGAGCTGTTTATTATGTTATTTCATTATCCTACATTAATAATGTACACGTACATGTACACAATACATAACGAGATGGTAATATTTATTTGATTGCATTGTCTACAGTATTTCATTATAGTTCATTATAGTTCATTATAATGAGGATAGTTATGTCTGCTAGTTAGTGTATGATGAATCAGTTACTAGTGACAACTATTGTAGCATGTGAGAGAGTCACTGGGGATATTGTGTATCTCAGCAATAAATAATAATGTTTATAATATTGTAATCATTAGTATGATGGAAGAAGTTATTTTAATGAACATGCACTGTATACAGTACAGCTGGTAATAGCACACTTGACTTACTTGTGTCAGTAAATGATGGACTTGTGCTGATAGTTGACTAACACAAAACAATTATAATATAATTGTAAATGATATTTTGTCTTTTAGTTTAAGTACATGTACTGTGTTGTACTCTACCTTTATAATTGTTATTTTTGTTTAAGTTCTTAATTGCTAACTGTCATTAGTTACTGGTCATAATACATTTGTTCTTTCACACAAAGCATTCATCTATTCTCTCAATTTATTGTCTCCCTCTTCTCCTGTAGCTACTGTGTCAGAGTATCAAAGGTTCTTGTCTCGTCTTGTGGCACACAAAACCCTCAGAACTGAGCAATCTTTCATTGTATTCCTAACTGGAACTATTGAAGTAAGAGATGAACCTATTAATATCATATTACTGTGAAACAAAGTTACAGTAAAATTGGACCTATTTACATAAATACTGCCATATTAAAGTGCAATAAAGTAATACAGTATTAAATTACAATGCAATGCAATGTAGTAGCTGCCAGCTGTGATAATTAGTACATGTACATGTATATGGGTGGGATAGGGTGTAGCTAAGGAGAGGCATTTGTGAGCTGCCAAGTTCACATTATTGTCATAATTGCTGTACTCATTACTCGCCTTGAAAACACTGCCAATTTTATATTAAATATTTACTGTGTAGGTTGATTAAGTTATGATATTCCTGTTATTATTTTATTTTAGGAGTTGAGGGTCCTTCGTGCTAAGTTCCGGCCTCATTTGCCGTCAGAAGAGTCCCTACAGTATCGTCCAACTCAAGGACGTGATACCTCAAGTGGTGCTCTTGTTGCTACTAAAGACTATCTTCATTCATTGGAGAATAATCTATTAGGATTGGTACACCATCTACAGCAAAGGACTACCAATGACACACAGAGAGAAGGTATCATGTTATGTAGAAAGTTTGAGCTAAAATTCTGAAAATTACCCAAGGCTATAGCCCATGGTTTTTTTCCAAAAAATGGCTCCAAAATCACCCCCCAATTTTTATTACATTTTCTGATACATATTGATGTCCTTATGCTGTGTAGAAAGTTTGACCTGATTCTGACTTCAATTTTTCAAGTTACGGCCGTTTTAAGAAAACGCCCAAATTCTGAAAAATGCCCAAGGCTATAGCCCATGGTTTTTTCCGAAAAATGGCTCCGAAATTACCCCTAATTTTTATTACATTTTTTGATACATATTAATGTCCTTATGCTGTGTAGAAAGTTTGAGGTGATTCCGACTTCAATTTTTCAAGTTACAGTCATTTTAAGAAAATGCCAAAATTTTGAAAATTACCCAAGGCTATAGCCCATGGTTTTTTCCAAAAAATGGCTCCGAAATCACCCCAAATTTTTATTAAATTTTCTGATACATATTGATGTCCTTATGCTGTGTAGAAAGTTTGAGGTGATTCCGACTTCAATTTTTCAAGTTACAGCCATTTTAAGAAAACATCAAAATTTTTGAAAATTACCCAAGGCTATAGCCCATGGTTTTTTCTGAAAAATGGCTCCGAAATTACCCCAAATTTTTATTACATTTTTTGATACATATTGATGTCCTTATGCTGTGTAGAAAGTTTGAGCTGATTCCGAGTTCAACTTTTCAAGTTACGGCCATTTTAAGAAAAT